CCAACTTTCAGCCAAATGGTAGTGTAAGGTGAACAATAAGTGAACAGTAACACCAGGAAGGCGCACATTCCTGAGAACAATCAACCATACAGGATCAAAGGCAGCATTGCCCCGGGATAAAGGTCAGGAGGCTGGAAGGGATAGGAAAGAAGGACTTCTAATGGAACCAGGGAACTTGGTGAGGAAGTGGGGACGGCAGTGAATATCACAAAGCCAAGGGTATAAATTGTTGAATGGAAAACCAATTTGCTCTATAAACTTTTACCCAAATCCCGGTCAAGGGGGAGAAGCAGAGAGATTAGATAGACAAGTAATATTATGGTATCCTTTTCCCTCTTGGGGCCTTTTCAAGGACAGGATTTGTTCTGCCCTGCAGGACGACTGCCTAGCACAGTGATTCTCAACCTTCCGCATGCCATGACCCTTTAATACAATTCCTCATGTGGTGGAGACCCCCAGTCATTGAATTATCTTCATTGCTACTTTATAACTATAATTTTGCTACCGTTATGCATCGTCATGTAAATATCTGATATGCAGGATCTATTTTCATTGTTACAAATTGAACATAATTAAAAGCATAGTGATTCATCACAAAAACAATATGTACTTATATATTGTGAGATATTTATTTCTAATGACAAATAAATGAAATTTTGTCTTGAAGCATGGTATAGCATGGGTTGGGTACTCATAGCTGGGCATATCTGCATGTGGGTGGACCCGCCTGGAGATGGATAGAGGAGCGCTGTCTGTGTTCCTAAGACCATCAGAAATATGTGTTTTCCAATGTTCTTAGGCGACTCCTGTGAAAGAGTCATTTGACCCCCAAAGGGGTCGCGACTCTCAGGTTGAGAACCACTGGCCTAGCACAAATAGCAGGTCTTTGGTCAATGTGTATAGCATAAATGAACCAAGCATGTTGATTATTATGCAAATGGCATAATCTGAGAAATTCTCGAAATGTTTTGGCCATTTTCTCACATTTGATTATTTCCCTTCTTTTTCTTTAATAATGGCACTTTAGTTATATTAAATTCTTACGTGTAACAGGTCTGTTTCTGAGCTTCATTCCTTACACCATGGATCCACCCATCTATTTGTTCATGGTCCCAGACCATATCCCTTGGACTATGGTTGCTTTATATTATATTCTAGTATATGTCTTATAAGACTAGTTGCACTTCATAACTCCTCTTTTTCAGTGTAGTATTACATATATTACTCTTGATGGTTTGTATTTTTCTACAGTGAATCTAGACATACTTGGTTATATGCCTAATAAAAACCCTATAGAGGTTTTGTTTCCCTTGCCATTGCATTAAATCTTCTCGTCAGTTGGCAGCTTTGTGCTGACCAGTCCAAGGGACAAGTGTTGTATATTTGTCCCTTTTATTCGGTGGTTGTTGCGTATTTTAATAAAACCTGTGTTGTAACTGTCTCAATTAACCAACATTTATTAGCAACCTGCTTGCCCCCACCCCACTTCTTGCCACTGTACTCACTGCTGGAGACCCAAAGATGGACGTATTACAGCCGTGTGCCTCAAGGGGCTTGCCCTGGTGGCAAGAGAGAGAACTGATCAAACAATTACAAGTAAGCGTTTTTATTATTCTGGTGGCAGCACAGAGGAGAGGCACTCAACCAAGACCCTGGATATGAAGGAAAACTTCCTGGAGGAGGGGATTGCAAAGCTGAGTCTTAAAGGCGGACTAAAGTTAACCCGGTAAAGAGCGAAGAAAAAAATATTGTAGGTAGACAGAATGTTCAAAAGTAAAGAAGCAAGGGAAAACTGTACGTATTTTAAGAGCTACATTTAGCTAGAGGCTAGTCATCGCTGCAAGTAGCTGAAAGATAGGATAAGAGGCTTACAGTCGTCAGGAATGAACCCAAGACGTTGGTGGGAGTGAGGCACTTGTGTGACAAGGTATAGAACTGAAGGATCTAAATGGAGGAGTGAAGTAGATTTATGTTTTAGGTGAAAAAAAAAGTCTCTAAATGAAAAAAACGATAAAGCTAATTTTTTTTTAAATGACTACTCTAGCTATAGTCTGGAAAGTGGCAGACAAAGGTATCAAACTTAGGCATCAAGGCCAGTCAGGAGGCCATTGGAAACATGGAAAGATTTAACCCTAAGGCAAGAGATGGAGAAAAGGCTCCCGAGCTACTAAGGAGGGAAATACTGGGATGTAAATAGTACTCATTTGTACTTACACATCCCCCATTGGGAATGAATTCAGTAGTTCATGTTCTATTAGTGTCTTAAATAGGATAGTATTCTAACTGATTATTTTCTGACGTAAGAAAACTATTGATTTTTAAAAATCTAATATTTTCCCACTTTTTGAACATTTAATTATAGTGTTTTGTTGATTTCTTTGGCTTTTCTAGGTATTTGTTTTTATCAAAGTGCTTTTGTGCATTGATTCTTTTGATACTTCCACTTGAAATTTTTTTTTAAAACATTTTATTAGGGGCTCATACAACTGTTATCCCAATCCATACACACATCAATTGTGTAAAGCGCATTTGTACATCGTTTCTCACTTGAAAATTTTTATTTTGAAAATCTTAAACATAAAAATACTTAAAATCCCCCTCCAAAAAAAATACTTGACCTCATGAAGTGATCACTGAAGATATGGGTGCTATAGCAAAGTAAGGTAAAAAAAATCAGATGGTTCCTAACTATCAGCACAAATAATGTCTGGGATCTTAAAGACTTGTCTTAAAACAAGCAGCTAAGTCCACACAGAAGGAGCACACCAGCCTGTGTGATCCAAAAATTGTAAATAATAAAATCCAAGATCAGAGGAGGGAATTGTATTAGAGTTTAAGTTTTGAGTGCCCATTTTGCAGAAGACTGTGGATAACAGTGGAAGCCCAAAATTCATTTGCAGAGTCCCTGTGCAGATTAAGCTTCCACTGAACTCCCTCAAGCCATTGACTAGGGATGTGAATAGTTTTACTCTCAAGCAGAGTGCATTAATACAGATATAGTTAGGTTAGAATTTAACATATTGTCATCTATTTTATCTTTTGACCCATTTTTAATTTGTTCTAGTTTCTATTCTGCTTTCTTTTGGATTGAGGTTTTTCTGTATTTTATTTTGTTCTTGGGATTTTTTTTTTTTACATGATTTTCTTGATATGAAATCCAACATTAGAAATCCATCGAGACCGTAAGTTAAAAATTCCTTAGGATGATGGCAGGGGAGGTTGGGGGTAATGGGAAGCTAATATTAATGGGTACAAGAATGAAAAAAAAAAGTTCTATAATTGATTGTGGTGATGATTGCACAACTCTTTAATTAAACCATTGGACTGTATGATACATGAATTATATGCCCATAGAACTATGAAGAAAAAAAAGCTATAGCAAACAGCCATATTCCCTTTACCCAGATTTAATAACTATTAATAGTTTACCAGATTTTCTTTATCTCTCTAAATGCCCCTCCCGCCCTTTTTTTTTTTTTTCATTACTAAAGTATTTTAAGGCAGAAACCCAGGCCTCATTGCATTTCAGGTCTACATACTTGAATACTCATCTATAAAAATAGGAATATTTCCTTATATAACTACAATTCCATTATCATTTTTAGCTAAATGAACATTAATTTCTTGGTATAATTTAATATCCAGTACATATTAATGAATGTTTCTTGCTTATCTCACAATATCTTCTAACAGTTTGTTCAAATCAAAATTTGAATTACACATCACATTTGATTGTTTAGACTTATATGACTTTCATTTGGGGGGAGCGGGGAGGGAGGGGAAAAATGAGGACCTAATGCCAGGGGTTTTAGTGGAGAGGAAATGTTTTGAGAATGATGAGGGCAATGAATGTACAAATGTGCTTTACACAATTGATGTGTGTATGGATTGTGATAAGAGTTGTATGAGCCCCTAATAAAATGATTTAAAAAATAAATAAATAAAATAAAGTTAAAGGTGAAAAAAAAAGACTTTCATTTTTCGGTAACAATCCCTAGCCCTAACCCCCCGCTGCTCATTTACATTATTGAGTATTGAAGAAACCATGTCTATTTTCCTATGGGATGCCCCACATTCTAGATTGCCTGTTTGTTTCGTTATACTCAACATTATTCCTTAATTGTTTGTCGTTCCTGTAAAGTGGAAGCTAGCTGTGAATGAGAAGTTGAATTGGGGTGCATCTTTTATTTGGGTACCCTGTACAAGTCTACTGCATAGGTAAGACTATGAAGTACTGACCTATATTTTAAGGATATGAAGTTGGTCAGTGGATTTAAGCAATGACAGCTCATTCCCTCCATTCCGTTTCCTCATCAATTGAGCTCATCTACTGATGATTACTGCCAAAGGGAATTATTCCATCAGTGGCTGCTAGATGGTGATTTTCCATTTCTTTTTTTCTTTTTTTTTAGCATTTTATTAGGGGCTCATACAACTGTTATCCCACTCCATACACACATCAATTGTGTAAAGCGCATTTGTACATCGTTTCTCAAAACATTTTCTCTCCATTTAAACCCCTGACATTAGGTCCTCATTTTTCCCCCTCCCTCCCCGCTCCCTCCGGTGATTTTCCATTTCTGTCAATCTTTTCACATTGATTAGCTGAATAAAGAACATTCCAACATCCTCTCAATAAGTAGGGCGATTTGCTTATCTTGGATACAGTATATATATAATCTCCAAAAGGCAAGATAAATGTTCTTTTTTGGGGGTAATTTTTGTATTAAACCATTAATGCCATATATAGTGGTTGTTCTTTTTAAAGTGTCTATTGATCATGCTTGCACTTTATGATTTATTTTATTGACTAGTCCAGTGAACCTCTTCAGTGATTATTTTGTTATCCCAGCCACCTTCCTGAAATGTGTCTTCCTTTGCACGAGAGCCTTAACCTCCTTTAGGTTGTGAATGACTTTCTAAGTGCCACACTTCAGTCCATCTAGTCTTGTACTTCCCAGAAGACAGTCTTTCCTTTGGTTTCTCTTCTCTGCCTTTAGGTCATACTGTGAACAAGATGCGGGAACACTCAGACTTAGAAGTGGCTTGTCTTGCCAAAGAAGTTTACACTGAGTGGAGAACTTTCATGGAAGAACATTTGGATAGACCTTCTATTGAAGTCCGGAGTGATCCCAAAACTGAGATGTTTAGGAAAAATGCCCAGAAATTGCTCTCAGAAGCTTTGGAATTAAAGGTAAAGTGATTAACTGTGCTTTCTTGGTTCAAAGAAACTCACATTTTCTTAAGGAACTTTCATAGTCTTAGAATTTGTTGCTTTATTCTAACTTGCAATTCTGTGAGGATTTTGGATTTATAAGCATCTTCCTGGGGGCCAGTGCTGTAGGAAGATTGCAGGCTTTGGGACCAGCAGACAAGTTTAAAGCTTGGCTCTAGCATGGACTAGTTGTGATACTTAGGGCAAATTCCTTAACATTTCTGAGACTTGGATCATAATTCCTACTTATGAAGGTTGTTAGAAAGGTTAAATGAGCCATTAACGTAAAGGAATAGTATAGTGTTTGCTGATGGAAGTTACTTAATAAAGATTGGTCCCTCCCCATTTAAAATTTTTTTATCTGTAACTGATGCAAAAATTCTGGGATGGACTCGTTTATGGTACATCAATGGCAAAATAGATAGCCCTTTCTCAGAAAGACTCCGTTCCCCTCATTTTTGTCAACACTCATTCCTTTCATTTTAAGGCATAAAATTGGACAGGCATTCTGTGTCATCTTCTTAGCCAGCAGTTCCGGTGACGTTGAGCAGTTTGAGATACACCTGCTGTGAGAAGGCTTTCTGATCATTAATAATAACATTAAACATCATCATCAAAGAGCACATCTTACAGGCTAATTCATACCCAGCAGAAAACAGCCGTATTTTTTCCTCTTCCAAACAGGAAAGAACATTCCCTCGAAAACTTTGATAAAGGACATTTAAGTACCCTTAAAGAACAATTTAATATTATTAACGAAAGAAGTAATTCAGAATTTTAATGCAGATTTAAAGAGTAAATCTGTCACTGTGTTCCTTTGGGAAAAAAAGTATTTTGACTTTCCTATTAGTAATTTCATCCACAAATGAGAATGATGTGATGCTTTTGGTTTTTAATATAAATTTTATGATAGAAAATGAGAAAAAATTCCAAAAAGAGAAATGAAAGGGAAAAAAACAAAAATATCACTGAAGCTAGAAATAATCTTACCACTTTGGTGCATTTCTTTTTTGGTTAATTATTCTAGCTCTTTAAATGAATGCTGGGCAGGTTATGGTTAACCTCGATTTATTAAGGGCCAGAGTCATCTGCCAAATGTGCTGTAAGATCTTTTTATTGGTTACTTAACTAACATTGTGGAAAATTCACATAATGTGTGTGCATTCGTGCTGTCTCCTGAATCTTGCATACCCTCTTCCATACAGCCTTGTTTTACACATGCTTGTCATTTTTAATGTCTATTTGAATGGAGAAGGCGTAAGTTTGCTTAACTTTTCCTGAAGGACACTTGAACAGGGTTATTAAAACCTTGGAAGAGGGGAAGCAATTTGAAGGCTCTAAGTCTAATTTTCCAGAATATGGATTAGCCAATAAGTCCTGCTATTTGATATTTTAAATACAGTTTATTTTGAAATATACCAAAATGATTCCAGAAGCATAAGCGTGTGTATGTAATGTATAGTTAATGTGGTGGTAAACTCCTGCTCCCTGTGGTATCTTTTTAAGTAAATGATAATAACGAAGCTATGCTTGTAAGGATTAATGAGCAGTTTGCCTGCTATATTAAACTCCATAATAATTATCCTTTTAGTTTATCCATTAATTATCCTTTAAATGGCACATCAAGTGGTAAGCACTCAAGTGTTACAAAGCAAAGTTAAAAAAAATGATACATTTGTTAGTGCTTTCCAACATAATTGTAAAAAAAAAATCAGATTAAGCATAGCTGAATGGTTTGTTCCTAAAGAGTAAATTATTTTTTAAAAATTAAAATTACGTATCTTACTGTCTTCCTTGGCCATATATATCTGTTTCCCTTGTATAAACAGCATTTCATAGTATTTTTATCAGTTTGATGTATCAGAAAGTATGACCAGAAACACTTTTTCATGAGGTTAACTCTTAATGCCTATCATCATCAGAGATATTTCCATATTAGAGTAAATCAATGAACCATATAATCCAGTATCTGTCGTTGACAGTAACCAATGTTGAGTGCATTTGAATCAGACATTAAATCTTCATGTGCTTCATCAAGCAGTAGTATAGCATTGAGTAAGTTATTGGCCCAATGACTAAAAACCCTTTACAGTTTGATCCTAGCATGTCCTTTTGCAAATATCAGATCTCCTCATAGCATCTTTGTAGAAAAAAATGTTACTAATTTTCCCATATATTTTTGTAGTGAGCCTCAGCTGAAGAATATACGCACAGCCAAAAGGTGCGTCTCCCTCGTTATTACTGGACAGATCTTGCTTTCCAGATTCCTGGATTGTTTCCTTGTTCCTGGAATAGTGGAATAGATGAATAAAAACTCCATCGTTGAGCCCCAGGCTCCATCCCCCGTTACTTTCTCCCTTCCGGGTCTCCTTTGTTCCTCCCGTCTTTTAGATCTTTCCTCATGTGAACATCCCCCACAGTGCCAGTCTCTTACTTCCCTTTCCTCATTATCCACTCTCCGTCCTACCTCATGGCCTGTGATCATTCTCCTATTATGTCATTTTTAAAAACTGAACCTGGTTCTCAAAGTGAGCCTGTATCATTAAGAGTTATGAAGCACCGGCTGGTTGGCACAGTTGGTTGTCAGATGGTGCTAATGAGATCCAGGTCAGGGGTATGTCCCCATATGGGACTGTTAGTTTTTGCTTTGTTTAATGGCCTTAGACTGCACCCCTGGCTCTGCCCAGCCATCTGATAAATGTTTTCAAGGGGTCAAAAAGGCGTGTGAGTCTAAATGTACAAATCCAGCCATGCTGATGGAAAGCCCGTAGTGGATATTCAATTCCCCAATGTTCAGGAAGGATCTACTAGGTGCCAGGTAGTGCACTATGTGCAAAGGGAAAATACAGATGAGTTGCAATCCCTCCTCTAAGAAAGTTTACTGTCTCTTGGCTGAGAAGCTGGTAAATGACTAACTGAAATATGGTGCAGAATGAAAAAGTCTAAAGTCATGACACTAGCAAGTGTTGTGAACACACAGTGAAAAGAACAGCGAAAGCTAATGGGAGAGTCTGGGAAGAGACGGCAGTTGAACTGACCTTTCTAGGATGAGGAAGATTTTGCTAATTGGAAAATGCATGTAATATAGAAATACCTATTTTATGTGCTTTGTGTATAATGTTTTGAGTGGGGAGAATAGGAAAAAGGAAGTGTAATGGCACGAAAAGACATTTGCTCAACAAATATCATTGAGCACTTACTACGTACCAGTTTTGAGTGTGAGAAGTTTCTACATGGATATAACATGGTACCAGCTCTCACCGTCTTTTGATAGGGACAGAGAATTACAGTACCATCTAAGAAGTTCTCGCACTCAGGTAAGCACACGCAGAAGACCTTGTTTCTCTCCTTTTCTGTTGCCTAGAGATGAGACAGACATCACTAATTGATTATGACACCACTTCCTACTGAGTCCAGAGTCCTGAATGGAGGGCAGCTCTAGGTGGTCATGTTTGATATCTTCCCCCAGCTATTGCCAGGACTGGACAACTGAATATTACATAGTCAACTGACAGGCATGAGTAGATATGGAAAGCAAGTCAGATCCGCTGTCTCTGAGAAACAACAGTTCTGGGGAGTGTTGACACAGAAGGGCTGTTGAAGGAGTCAGGAAGTGGAAGGTGTGGATAGAGAAGAGAGATTTAGAAGAGGGGGGAGGATGCAGTGACTGGAACTGCCAGTAAAGAGTCCAGGCAGATCATGAGAGACACAGAGAATGGAACTGGCCCCTAACTAAATCCCTAGGTCTTTTTATAGCTTTTCCTGTTCCTATTCCCATTCATACAGATATATCACAGGAAAAACCCCTTTTTCAAGGTCTCAGTGAGACTGGGCTTTTTCACCTACACTACCATGGGGGAACTCATTGGAAAAGATTCATCAACTTGAATAGGTTTGATTCACACAAAGGCAGGTTTTAGTTTCAACGCAATGACTTGCCACACACAATGATAAGTGGTGAATCATTTTTCCCTTATGTACATTTTAACATCCCAGATATCTTTCTGCATTCATTGTGATTGGCTTTTGCTTTCATTGAAGAAGATGCATGCATGGAAAATGTTAGATGCTTACGTCATATTCCCAACACACCTCTGGCATAGCACCAGTCATGCTTTCCATCCACGGTTCTTTTTGTATGTGCTATCTCCATTCTAGGCTGTGAATTCCTGGAGGGTAGGGGTCAAGTCTTTCTGCCTTCTGATACCCTGACCAGGTCAAACTCATAGTAGGGACTCAGTAGCTATTATGGTGACCTCCATAGCACTCACAGTGTGTGTGTGTGTGTGTGTGTGTGTGTGTGTGTGTGTGTGTGTGTCCTACAACTTGATGGAGTGGCTTCAACCTTGTTTCACATACACTAATTTACCCTTCCTCCCTTGACATTTACCTTCTCAATCTCCTAAAATGGTCTGCTACCAGGGCTGCCTCACGTTGGAAGCTAGGCCACTGCCCAGGCAGAAAGCTTGGAAAATCTTGAGGAGTCTGGGTTCTAAAGAGCTCTGATGCCAAATCTACTGACTCCCACCTATGCCTAGGAGATTATCAATAGGTCGCCAGACCCACAGATTTTCTGAGCTGCTTGTCTGATGAACCTTGGCCTTGGCATTCTACTGCTAGCATATCTTCACGTCCATATTCTTTCTCTCGCCTATTTTGTTTCCTCCAAGTTCCTTTTTTCTGCCTCTTTGTTTTGGCCTTTATCTTAGTTTAAGACATTTTATCTTAAGTCTGATCACCCTCTTGGGTTTTACAATTTTTGTTTTTCCTCTTTATTAAAAAACTTTTATAATTGGACGATATAGCACATATGACCCACAAAGTCAGGTGCCTTTGCACAAGCAATAAGACACAGATAAGCATCTTCCTAGAATTCTCTTCTTTCAGCCATCTGACATTAGCCAGGATATATCCCTCATTCCACATCCTCTTTTGAATCCAGCTTGAATTTCCTGCCGTTCTCTGGTGATGAGCTGCTG